CTCACACCAGTCAGAATGGTCATCATCAAAAAATCTACAAACAATAAATGCTGGAGAGGGTGTGGAGAAAAGGCAACCCTCTTGCACTGTTGGTGGGAATGTAAATTGATACAACCACTATGGAGAACATTATGGAGGTTCCTTTAAAAACTAAAAATAGAACTACCATATGACCCAGCAATCCCACTACTGGGCACATAACCTGAGAAAACCATAATTCAAAGAGTCATGTACCACAATGTTCACTGCAGCTCTATTTACAATAGCCAGGACATGGAAGCAACCTAACTGTCCATTAACAGATGAATGGATAAAGAAGATGTGGCACATATATACAATAGAATATTACTCAGCCGTAAAAAGAAAGGAAATTGAGTTATTTGTAGTGAGGTGGATGGTTGTTTACAAAATATATAAATAATAAAACAAAAAAAAAAAAAAAAAAAAAAAAAGGTTCTGATGAACCTAGGGGCAGGATAGGAATAAAGACGTAGATGTAGAGAATGGACTTGAGGACCCGGGGAGGGGGAAGGGTAAGCTGGCATGAAGTGACAGAGTGGCATGGACATATACACACTACCAAATGTAAAATGGATAGCTAGTGGGAAGCAGCCACACACAGGGAGATCAGCTCAGTGCTTTGTGACCACCTCGAGGGGTGGCATAGACAGGATGGGAGGGAGAAGCAAGCGGGAGGAGATATGGGGATATATGTATATGTATAGCTGATTCACTTTGTTATAAAGCAGAAATTAACATAGAGAATGGACTTGAGGACCCGGGGAGGGGGAAGGGTAAGCTGGCATGAAGTGACAGAGTGGCATGGACATATACACACTACCAAATGTAAAATGGATAGCTAGTGGGAAGCAGCCACACACAGGGAGATCAGCTCAGTGCTTTGTGACCACCTCGAGGGGTGGCATAGACAGGATGGGAGGGAGAAGCAAGCGGGAGGAGATATGGGGATATATGTATATGTATAGCTGATTCACTTTGTTATAAAGCAGAAATTAACACACCATTTTAAAGCAATTACAATCCTACAAAGATGTTAGAAAAAAAAAAGAAAAAAGAAAAAACAATCATTATATGTGACCCAAACTGGAAAATAAAGTGAATAATAAAAGAACTATAACACAGTACACTAGTGTGTGTAGATAATCTAATCCATTCACATGTTCCAAATTTGGGACTAATTCAGACAGGATCCTTAAAAACCATTATTAGACATTGAAGGGAGAGTATTACCCTCCATGGTCAACTTTAAATTTATTCACCAGCCACCAATCAACTCCCAGAAGTCTCTAATTTCTAAGTGAATAGAGGCATATCTTAATTATTCCCACCACACACACACAAAAAGATAATTATGTGACGTGATAGAGGTGTTAACTATAGCTATGATGGCGATCATGTTACAATATATAAATCTATTAAATCAATACATTGTACACCTTAAATTTACATGTTACATGCAAAGTATGTTTCAATAAAATTAATTAATTAAAAAAATTTAATACAGACAGAGAATGTTGCAACAGCTTGCAAAAGGATTCAGAAAGAGTCACGTACCAGTGTTCACTGCAGCTCTATTTACAATAGCCAGGACATGAAAGCAACATAAATGCCCATCGACAGATGAATGGATAAAGAAGATGTGGTATATGTATACAATGGAATATTACTCAGCCATAAAAAGGAACAAAATTGGGCCATTTGTAGAGACGTGGATGGATCTGGAGGCTTTCATACAGAGTGAAGTAAGTCAGAAAGAGAAAAACAAATATCACATATTAACGCATATATGTGGAACCTAGAAAAATGGTACAGGTGAACCGGTTTGCAGGGCAGAAATAGAGACACAGATGTAGAGAACAAACGTATGAACACCAAGGGGGGAAAGCGGTGGGGGTGGGGTGGGGATGGTGGTGTGCTGAATTGGGTGACTGGGATTGACATGTATACACTAATGTGTATAAAATTGATGACTAATAAGAACCTGCTGTATAAAAAAATAAAATTCAAAAATTGAAAATAAAAAGAATACAGAAGACCCTGATGACAATTCTACTCCTGTTACTTTAATCTTAGAACTCAAATTTAATTAGAAGGTAACTATTCTCTTCTAAACTATTCTAGGACCAAGGGATTCTATTACAATCTGCATTATTTCCACTGTTACCACACAACCTTGACATAAACACATGCAACTCTCTTGCCCACCACTTAGATCTAATAATATATTGTTCTTCAGTGGCAGGATGTGTGTAAAGTACAATTTAGTAAGTATAAAGTCAGATACCAAGAGTTTCTGCTGCTATCTGGCCATCAAGTAGCTTGGAAATGATGATATTTGCCAGGGTCATTTCCTTTTTCTGCAACAGGCATCTTTGTTAAATTAGCAAAGTGTACAACAATTTTGTAGTGTCCAGTTTGCTTATCTCCAAATTCAACAATAAATCCCGTTACTGTGTAAAATGGTTTAAACTGATACTCAAAAGCTGTCCTAGGAGTCTTCTTGTCTACCTGTGCTCTTGTTTCCTCCAAAACTTTTTGGCTCAAATTGCTTTCTTAGGCAATTATATTTGGCATATGACCAAAAGTGAATGTTTTTTAGTGAGGCTGATGCCAGATAAGTTTTTATTATATTTAGAAAAAAAAGTACCTGGAAGTAAAAGTAAGTCATTCAAAATAAATGAGAGGTTTAGAAATCCCTTTAATTCTTTAATGGTACTATTTGGACTCATCATCCAAGCCAGTTTTAATCCAACCAAGATACTGGGAAGCAGAGCACACAGATTTGCCCATCAAAGCAATGAGGGTGCTGGAGCCAAGGGCTTCCTGATCCTGCTTGCAAGGTTCTCCTGTGTAATAGCCACGGGCATAAAGAACTCATCCAACAACCCAGGCAAAGCCCAAGCCAGAAACTATATGCAGGTGGCAAACACCTCCAACAGCTAAAAAAATAAGAAGGGAGGATACACTTCCAACTAGATTACTAGTTTATTATGAAAGGATATAACTCAGGAATGGCTGGATGGAAGAAATGCACAGGGTAAGGTATGTGCAAGGGGTGTGGAGCTTCCATGCCCTCTTCAGGGCACAGCACTCCCCCAGCACCTGCACATGTTCACCAACCCAGAAGCTCCAAAAATGGATTTCTTCTCTTTTTCCAAACTTCATAAACCTTCTCTGCTCCCCCAGTTGTCTAGAGCAATCACTATGATCTTCACACCAGCCATTTATCACTGTTCTCTCAGAATTTTGCCAAATATGGACAAACCCATAGAAACGAGATGAAGTAAGATAAACAAGTCCACCTCTCTGCCAAACATTTCTTAAAATAATTAGGCATGCCCTTGAAGAATTTGTAATATTATCAAGTGAGGAAAAGGGAAAGGTCAGTACAAAATGGGCTGAGAAATTTTCATAATTTCCAAATTTGGAGATGCTTTTCAAAGAAAGAAAAATACGTAAAAGGGTATCTGTCATTATGGAAAAAATTGGGAAAAAGGATAAGAAGGACTTCATGTAATGTGGACCCAGAAGTACAAGTAACCAGTACATTTCATCAATTACTTCGTTATTTTACTATGATAAGCAAGTTTGAATACAAAGTAATGAGATTGAGGTAGCAAGTTACATATGACAGCCATTCCGATTTCCTTGTGGTCACCAAATAGAGCTACTGTTGCTATAACTTATGAAAATGAATTAATTATTCAAGGAATATCTAGAAAGCACCTACATGAAAGCACTCATAGCTTATTGAGGAAGATGGAAACAGACATATATATATATATATATATATATATATATAATAAAATGTATTCAATGTATTAACAGATCTATACTGATACTTAAGCCAGTGGTATATCCCAAAGAGAGCAAGGTAGAACTTTAAGAAAACACTGAAAATAGTATTTTACTAGAGGCAAAAAATATGCAGTGAAATCTTGTCCTCTAAAAAGGATTGAAATGTAATACAGCATTAGCTTGCAGTGGTGTTTTTCTCATTTCATTTTATAAGTAAAATATTAAAGGTTAACTGAAGCTGATCTGTGACCTCTCATTTTATAATACCATGAAGAAAACCATTGTTTAAAACATATTTCTTAGAATAACAAAAGCCAAAGAGACAAATATATTGGGTGGGATTCCTATTTTTGCTTTTTTAGTGTAAAATTCCCTTTATTATTATTAGTATGTATGCATTTCTTCAGGCTGTATGTTTAGAGACTTGGAAATCATGTCAACTATGATGAAGAAAGAATTTTCTAAACTAACAAATTCTTCTGTACACCATGCTTTATTTCAGTACTGGCAGGTTTCAATGTGTTTTGCTATAAAGACACATATGTAACTATTGAAAATATTAAAAAGGCTTTAAAGTTAGACAACAATTCATATAATTCAAGCAATCATTCAAAATAACCTTGTCTTTGCGCAGAGATGTCATGTAAGCTTCAGAATACTCTTTTCTTCACCACATTATCAGATTAACCTGGATCTGCCTCGCTTACACACTTCCTTCACTGAAATTTGAACTCCTGGGAGATTTATGAACTCCTAGGAGATTATCAAGATTCTCTACCTTGCAGGGAGTTGTATGAAACAATGCATTTTGCGGTCACAATATGCTTTATGAAAAGTAATATTATCTCAGATCACTTTGCAGACTATGAATATGTTCTTTGTTCCTTTTAAGTATCTTATATCAAATGAGATTCCTCTTTCTCAACTCCCGTAACTTTTATGCACAATGTTCCTGACATCTGGAGAAAATTTCTGGATATCAAATTCAGATAGCCTGTCCATCAAGCGGTCAAAACTGCCACCTACTGGTCAGTCTTCAAATCTATTTTTCAGTTCACCCAAGAATTGCCTTACCATGATAAGATCCCTTGCTTCAAAACAGTAAAGATCAATTATAATACCAGACTTACAACAAAGCTCATCCTGTCTAGGGTGATCCAAAAATACCAAATTGCACAAACCTGCCAATAAAGTCATCCCTTTTCCCAGCGTCTTTGTCCCATGCAGTGATATCAATGATTCCGCCTCTTTCTTCATAGAGATGAAAATCAAATTGTTCTCTCCACTGAGGATTCAAAGTTTTTGGCATAATCTGGAAAACCAAAAAGTCATTACTGTCTCCTCAATATCAGTCTTAAAAAATTTAACTTGAGACATAAATCAAACTTTATGTACTATCTAGAAAAGCATGTGAGCTTCTAGAAATGACAGAAATAAGTCATTAGATCTCAGTATCTTTACTACATGTTGTATGCGAGAACCCAAAAGAATGTGTCCTGAAAACCAACAGGCACCCTCTCATTATTTTGAGTAACAGATAACAGATATGAACTACACAGAAAAGGCAACGAGTCTGTAAGTGAAATAGCTCACTCAGATACTAGCATTTATTTTACATAACCAGTTAATACACAGATATAACTCGTAGTCTGTCATCTTATAATAAAGGAAGATGAGGATTCCCAGAGTTTTTTTCCCTCACTTCCCACACACGTAAGAATTGCGAGCTGAATAATGAAGAAAACGGACAATGAAGTTCTGTGGGAGAAAGAGGGAAAAAAAGTAATTTTGGGGTGGTCAGGCAAACTTTTACCTTAAAATTATAGCACTGATGTATCATCCCAATTTTATACATGCAGAAACTGAGACCTGAGGTTTAAGTGACCCACCTACAGTAACTAGGATTTAGTAGCGAGACTCTAACTCAAGTCTTTTATTAGAGCTTCAGATCTCTTTCCCCAAAGCACTATGCCAAAAATGTTTGTGAATTAATATGAATATGTGTGTGTATCATCTCCACGTTGCACATATAAGAAAGATATCTTATCTGACGTGCAATTTTGTAACTTCCAAGTATTCAGATAAGACACCTGGTGGAATCAATGAAGCAAGTGACTCATACTGATGTGTTTTAAAATTCCATTCACCACTTAGACCACATTCGTATTTGTTTCCCTACTCTTTCTTTTTAGCAGGAGGGCATGTAGCGGCCTTTTCTCTTTTTAATGTATGAGAGACAGACCTTCAGATGTAAAGACTTTGAAAGCAAGGAAGTATGTTATGTGCAAAGGTAACGCAAATGAATCACAATTTTTAAAGTTCATAATCTGAAATTAATCAGCAATAGATCATGGAAAGAGAGAGCAAAGAGAGACACATGTCCATAGCTGGGTTTCATATTTCATACCTAAAGAGCAGAACTATAAAAATAAGTAATGTTTTAAGCCTACCAGAACATGGAAATAATGTTAATTGATAAAAGACAAGATAGAAGCGGTCACAGGTACCTATTCTGGGGATCAGTAGTTTCTTTAAAATGTTATTATTAAACCCATGGCAGAAAAAAAAAAGACAGCACCGGATGGATGGTATGACAATTCAAATGTCTCATAATTGGGTTCAGATGAACTCCTTCAGTATTTTGGAGAGTGGCCCGTCTTACTTATTTGGCCAAAAAAGAACTTAAGCTTTCAGTTTTCTTTTTTAGGATTGTCTTCCCTATATGATTTCCTATAGGTCAGAAGTGATGCCTTCCCCTTCGATGTGGGCACTTAAGAAGGTAACCAATCAACCTGCTAAGAAATCACCTCTGTGATATTTCTAATACAAGATGGGTGTAATCAGTTGTCCCAAGCTGTCAGTGAATACCAGCTATAGAAGCTGACCATTAAAGAGGCTTATTTGGGCTTCCCTGGTGGCGGAGTGGTTGAGAGTCCGCCTGCCGATGCAGGGGACACGGGTTCGTGCCCCGGTCCGGGAGGATCCCACATGCCGCGGAGCGGCTAGGCCCGTGAGCCACGGCCGCTGAGCCCGCGCGTCCGGAGCCTGTGCTCCGCAACGGGAGAGGCCACAGCAGTGAGGGGCCCGCGTACCGCAAAAAAAAAAAAAAAGAGGCAGATAAATGTAACTATCACTATAGATAAATGTAACTATCACTATATATGTAACACAGATAAATGTAACTATCACTATATAACACAGATAAATGTAACTATCACGATATAACCATGACTACTATGAACTTTACTAATTATTATTTCTGTTAATAATATGATAGTGATATGAATATTTAATATAATACGTTATTACTAATAATACAAGTGCTATTATATAATGTACTTACTACTGCTGCTACTCTTCCTCTTCCTTCTGCTACTACCGTTTATTGAATATTTATTATGGGCAAAGCAATATTCTAAACCCTTTACATGCATGACACATAGTATTCAATCTTCTCAATAACTTTATTAGGCAGGCATTATTTTAATTCTCATTCTCACAGATAGGGAAATGGGGGTATGGAGAGGCAAAGTAACTTGTGCCATGGCACACTGCTGTAGTGGCAGCAGGACCTTGGCCCTCTGTTTTCTAAGTAAATTTTTAAAACCTTGCACTCTGCATTGGTGCAACTCAGTTTGAAAAAATGGTTCAGAGTAATGCACAAAGATTTTTCATACATGTCAAATAGTGCTATTTGTAGTACCTGTACTGTACTAGATGCAGTAATAATAGTAGCCAACATTCTTTGAGCAATTTATGTGCCAGGCATTGACTTAGGTTTGCTCTGGCTTTTTTTAAAATTTTTTTAAAAGAGATAGTTCCTAGTATTATTCCGTGTGATACGTGAAGAAGCTGAGACATAGAGAAATAGTTTACCAAAGGTCACATAGTACATAAAGTAAGAAATGCAATACAATTGTTAGCACTGTTGCCTGACATGATGTTGAAAAGTAGCTCTGTAAAGCATTAAAAAAGTGTCTAGTGTTTTCATGTCTCAGAGCATGGCTATTAACCAACCACTGCCTTCCAAGCACTGATGGGAACACAAAAGAGATAGGTCACCTTGCTCTTGTACTTCTGATGCCCAAGCCGGAACTTCACATAGGGGTCACTCAACCCATTTGAATCCATTGCCTTGAGGTCTCGCCCCTCAATCAATGTGATGCTGACTATTCCTCTCCAAAGATGTGGTTTTCTGTGTACATCTGACAGACGTAAACTTTGGGTCTGAAACTTGTGGCAAAGGAAAACAGAATTAGATTACTGTGTTTTAAACCAAAATACCACATTTGGCATTACCCTTTCCTCTGTTATAGTTTTTCAAAAATAAAAAATAGGCAGTTACAATTTAAAAAAATAAAAACAATTAATAGATTATTAGTTATCTATTATACAATTATTGATAAATATGAAATTATTATCTCATAAATTTAAGGTTGTAGTGTAAGAGAGGTGTGTGTTCAAAATAAAGTCTACTTTTTCAACTCTTAAAATTACATGTAGATATTTTAAGAATATCACAGAATATTTGAATATGTGTCAAATATGCCTGTCTAAATATGTATAAATAAATATAAATGTAAAAGGCCTCATCCACACTGTGATATGTAATTTTTAATTAGTAACAGTGTTTTTGCTGCTTCAAAGTTTTTATTATGAAAAATCATAATAAACACATCTAGCATTTGTCAGTAACAGTTTCTGAAAATTTTTTTTCGTGTTACAAGTGGATTTTACAGGCGGTTTTTAGTTCTTAGTTTTAAGTTCTATTCAGACAATTAAAAAACTTCTTTATTGCCACAATAAGAGATAACTGAGTTTCAGCTCTCTAAAAAACTACTTAAGTTACCACAGAACAGAGAAAAGTCAATATGCCCTCCCGAGATAGCTTGCTTATGCCTGAAACTTGCATCACAAATTTTTAAAATTACATATGTGATTTATATTGGCAGGTACGTTTCTGGATTTAGTTCTCTAGTATTTGAACATTTTCTTTAATAACTTTTAATCGCCCAATTCTAAGTCACAGTACTCAAGCCAGTGAACAAACTCAGAATTTTTAAAAATCAGCAAGCCTAAAAATGCCATATAATCTCTTGAACTAAATAGCATATAAAACAAGCCAGAGAAAGTAGCTAAAATGTTAAAGAGCTTTTCAATCTGGATTCAGAACCAAGGAGTATTATAAAAATTGCTGGGTTTTTTTTATGTTGTCAAGCACATTTTCTTCACTTATAGTGATTTCATGAAGAAATTCAATGTTTCTCTCAACCTCAGAGTACTCCACTTCTAAATTATGGATTAGCTCTACTTTTGGCCTAATTCCTTCCACACTAAAGTGATAGTCTATTTTGTATAACTCCCCCTCCCACTTTGAATTCTTACTTTTTCCCCATACCATAATAATGGCATAGACATTTTTTATTTATCATCAAAAGTCATGCGTTTCAGGATGCTTATTAGGAAAATGAAAACTATATTCTTCAAAAGATAATACTTTTAATATTTGAACATGCCCATGGAAATCTTTCTAAATCACATTGCATATTTCCATGCCTTGGTGATCAGCAAATTTTAAACACCACTTCTTGGTGGTTCTGCCTTATTAATATCAATGCAGGACTTTGCCTACACATCCCTCACCTCTGTGAGCCCAAGAGCAGTGTCACCTGTGTTCTGAAGAGAAGCCAAGGTTACATGCAGCACCTGTAACTTCCGCAAGACTCCATACCCCACTTCAGTGAAGCCCCTCTGCTCCCATCTGTTTTATATCAATACATTGGGTTTCCTCATTGATTTTGTTTGAACCAAGGATTTCTCAGATTAAAATAATTGTTTAGAATTCATTGCACCAAATAATTTTCAAGTATTTTTTTTTGGTTCTAAGATTTCATGCTACTTATTTTATATAATACAGCAATCGATTTCAGTGCCTATCTATCTATCTGACTACTGCTGCTCTTGAGACCACAACAGCAGACTCTAGAGAATCAGGTTTTCAACTATGCACCTGAAACTTTTGTTAAGGGGTATGAGTGGCAAAGAAGGAAAACAAATTTTTGGCAAGTAAGAAGAAATAATTATCTTAGCGAAGACTAAGGAGTTAAAAACTACCCATTTATATAGAGCTTTAGACTTTGGAAGTGCCTATATATACATTACATAATTTGGTTTCCACTAAAACCCTATGAAGTAGGAAGGCAAGTTCTGCTATTTCCATTTTACCGATGAGGAATTTGAGGCTCCAAGTGGCTGGGCTAATAAATGATGGATATGGGACCAGAACCCAGTATTTCTGACCTTTATTCCTGAGCTTCTTCCAATATTGGTCTTTAGGGCAGAGACTCTCCCCGAGGTTTCAAAGTGGTCATGATTTAAGTACAATGTTGCTAAAGGGTACTCTTCAGTTAGGTGAGTCGCTTATATTTGAAATGACATTCGGTCTACATTTTCCTATGCGGCTAATACATGGCATCACCTTCTACTTCTCTGTCATATGAGCACATGTATTCATACTTACAACATTCCAGCTTGCAGATGGATATACTTAATGACATTTCCTACACACTCTAGCAGCACAAGTCAGACACTGCACTCATCAAATAACAGTTGGGTACAATCTAGGTTACACAGCAACTTCGGTTAGCAATGCTGAGTTAGGTTCTTGAATGGTACCATGTCTGAAACCCTTTCGTGCTCTCTCCTCCTCCCATTTTTCACAGGAGAACAAGAATTTTACTTTTAAGATGAGAAGGAATGCTTTCCATGGGATCCTTCATGCTTTCACAGAAACAGAATGAACTTAATGGAGGCTTTACCTAGTGCCACTAAGTTGTTACCAAATGCTTTTCTATAACCTGGAGGAACATTCCCAAAACGACTTGGGAAGCTGAGGGGTGGGGGTGGAGGAGGGGAGAATATTTCTTAACAAAAACAGGGCTAGTGATTGTGGAAATTAAGGTGACCTGTATAAAAGGCTAAAAGGAAAATAAAGGTTGGGTTCTAAAAACATACTAACCAAATATCATTTTTTAGAGTGATTGTTTTTCAATTTATTTTTGTTAAAATGGTACTCTTCTAAAAAGAGACTTCTTAATTCAGCTGTGATTTGACCAGCTACATAGTCATGAAACAGATAAATATTTAGTTTGAGTGTGAAGAATAGGAACTTGAAATAAAATTATAAGGTAAAGGGGGAAGATATAAAACTTAGGCTACCAACAGGAGAAAAGACAAGGGCTTAGCATAAATGTCTACTTGCATCTTTCTAGCAATTTCTGACTATGTGACTTGGGCACATTGCTCTCTCTCTGGGCCTCAGTTTTCTTACCTACGGTTCCAGACAGTACACCAGGCCCCCATGTACTAAGAGCACTGCTCTGTGTGAGGGGGGGTGGTCAGGGGGGGTTGTTGAGGGTCTGAATGGAAAAAAAGTATATTCCACAAACAGAGAAGATTTAATCCACTTAAGATAGCTAATACTAAACTTAGTTTTTAAATCAAAGTTTTGGGGAACTCATTGGGGAACAAGTAGAATTCCACAACTAAAACAAACAAACTTTGAAAAGCACTAGTGTTAATGCTCCCCAACACAGCTTCTGAGTAACTTGGTGTTCTGGTTAAAGTTTCCTTCCTCTGTATAGCAAAGTTCTCCAAGTATGGTCCACAGAGCAGTGGCATCAGTGTCACCCAGGAACTTGTTAGAAATTCAGATTCTTTAGCCCCATCCCAGACCAACGGAATCATCAGCTCTGGATGCAGGGCCCACTGCTCTGGTTTAACCAGCCTTCCCGGGAAGGGGTTCTGATGCGCACTCAAGTGTGAGACCACCCCCGCCCCTGCCCCTGCTTTAAAAGTTCTAAGGTACATGCACACTGGTCTTCTCCTATGTTCTAATAACTAGTATTAATTACTATAATTGTAGACATCATCCACTCTCTGTCATGGATACTATATATGCTAATTAAAGTCCTTCTTTAGTTCTGCTTCCTAATTTACTGATGAGGAAAGCACATTGGTTTGGATATTTGGAACATTTAAAGAGAGAAATAGGAGGCCATTGAAAAATTATGTGGTTTAATTTATTATTTCCTTTGTTAATGATTTTTCTAATAGGATGTATCTAAATAATTAACTGAATAATTGATAATCGGTCAACCAAAAATTACTTATTGAGCACCAAAAGGGCAAGGAGTGTTAAATACATCCAAGAAATCCCTCAATAAAATTAACATATTACAGCTGGTACTTAGTCATCTAAGGTAATGTTTTCAACTATGTCCTTGTTGAAATAGGAGGGAAAGAAAAAAGAAGGGAAGAATAAAAAGGAAAAGCAACCCAGCTTCGAAGCAAAGAGCCAACTCCAAAAAGGAAGAAGTACTCTTTGAACTTTTAAAGCAGTAATTCCCCAGTTTTAATGGGCAATTTGTTGAAATCGCCAGGCCTGATCCTCCAGGATATGATTCAGTTCTTGTGGGCAGAGCTGCACGTGTTTCTCCAACATGTGCGCCATGTGGTTCTCGTGCACACTGAAGTTTGAGATCCACTCTCATAAGGAATATTCGTCCAAGTTCAGATTTAATAAAGAATATCAAGATACCAGGTAATAATACAAATTTCAAAGTCTCAGGTAATTAGTCACAGACATGCATCTTTAGTAAGATTTTAGAATTAGTGAGCTGGCATTTTAAACAGAATATTAGTTTATGTACATTATTCCTTGAAAACGAATTCAAGACTTCAATCCCTTTTCATATACATAAAAGATGTTAGGATACGGAATGGTTTTCAGAAGAGTAAGTCAGCCATGAGAGTTCACAGCTCATGTAAGCTCAGAAAACATAAACAAACTGGTTGAACTTACTTGTGCATTTTGGTAATGAGCATTCTGAAGCTCTGCTCTGCAGAAGCCCAGGACAGGAAAAGCAGTCCTGCCGCACGTCTGGATGGAAATGAATGATCAGAGCCGTATGGGAAATCTTTGGGCAACTATCAACACCTCATGTCAATCAGAGTTTAGCATCACTCTTTAAAAAGTATTATTTGAAAAAAATGTGTATTTGCCTCTCAAGTCACTGTCAGAAAATGTCTCCTAGCACAATGAAGACAAATGCCAATGCCACGATAGTTTCCAGCCCCTTCTTTAGTAACATAATGCTGCAGTGGTCAAGAAAATAAAGTACAGAGATTATATGGTGATGGATCCGGTTTGAGTGGTTTCAGGGTTTTATTAGTAGGTGTAGCAGAGAAAAGAAAACAGAGCAAGAGAAATCATGGAAAGAATCACTTTCTCAAGTCTGTTGCTCCAAAATTTTTGGAGACTGCTTCCAATGTCAAAAAAGTGATAAGGCTCCAGAATAAATGTTGCATGGACAGGCAATAACTATAATCATGTTAACTGCATCCCACATGTGAATCTTTTGTAACTTTTAAAGAGATATTTCTAAAGTAACAGAGAAATTTTGCCCCACACAATACTTATCTTTGTTGCCTTTGCTACTAAAAAAATAACCCTAAGTTCCCTTCACTTATTAAGACCAAGAGCAGCAAGAGATGGATAAAAAAGATACAGATGAACAGGAAACAGTGGAAGGAAATTATCATGGTGGAGCTAGAGGTCTGTATTAAATGACTTCTAGAGCAGCTAGACAAAGTTTCCAAACAACAGAATTATGATGAGAGTCATCAGCTTTACTAATATCAACAAGGAGGACTGAATTAGGCCAGTCTGAAAGATGGGTTAGATCGCACAAAGAAGTAAACATGTATTGAGCAGCTATTATGTGCTGGAGTTTTCATAATCCAGTGTTTTTCATGACAAGTGTTTTTAAGGTACAGAAACTGAGGCACAGAGAAGATAAATACCCTACTTAACGCCAAATGGCTAGAGACTGGCAAGTCTGAGATTTGAATCTGCAATTGCTGATAACTAACTGACGATTTTCCCCACTACATCTCAATTTGTGGACAGAGCCTACGAAGTTCAATCCCCCAAATGCGTTTAATTTGTACAGGATTTGTTGAAATACTCTGACTTATGTTTAGATGAAATATATCCCTGGGTATAGATTACTAAGAAAGGCTAATCAAGGGCTTAAAGGAAGAAAAAGTTTTCGAGTGGTAGTAACTCTAGCATATATTGTTAAGCAAAACATATGAGAGCTAACTGTACTCTATAACAAACTGTAGTCTCATTAAAAAGGTGGTGAAGTTGTAGAATCTTTCATACAAATTAAGAACACTTCTATGTTCCAGTTCTCATTAATAAAGTCTACTAATTGCATTCCTTAAAAACTGGATCACTAATGATAAATTCCTATTATTCTAGATCCTGATTAAAACAGAGAACAAAACCAAAAGAGTCTGTTTAGACTTACCGGTGGCTAAAGGAACACTCAGTCATGCCAATCTTCTCCCTGTTGTGTGCAAATAATCCTTGGCTTTTGTTATCTTGGGTTTTTTTTTTTTTTTTTTAAACTGTGTACAACCTAATCCTTCCAAATGAGACCTAGACACTATGAAACTGGAGTGAAAGACATTGCTTGTGTCTTTACAATGGCTGTGTGTGGACGCAGCCCTTTCCTCTATCTTCAGCACAGAGGTGCACATGCTTTTATTTAATCAAATGATCCACAGGCACTACAAAGAAGAGATAATGACAGCCTGGAATGACTGTTTTGTGCTGCAAAGCTTGGAGCGTGGAGCAATTATTAGCTCAATCCCAGGCACAGGCGTGTTCTATCTTTCCCTTTGCCTGCTGAGTTTATTCCAGTGAATTGCACCTGGATGATAAGTCCAACAAGTAGATTTGTTCTACAGTCCATCCATCCGCTCAAAGCAGGATTGCCTTTACAGAAAACCCTCCCAGTGCTTTGTCCAGCCTAGTTTCAAGTGTCTCATCTAATAATAAAGCTTCGATCCCCTTTTTTCTTAGAAGGTGATTCACTGGCACTATAATCCTTAGAGAAATTCTCCAGGTTTTTATCTGTAAACCTTCTTTCCTATTTCTACTGCTTCTTGATATAATTTACGTTGTCAGGAAGGTATTTATGTTTACTTCAGATGTTCTAACTACCCTCTCTAAACTTAACTGTGGCCAAACAAATGCTCTTAAGCTTTTACTATATTTGCTCAAAATATATACTAATAGAAAGTCACCATATAACTTGTAACCTTGTTGGTTTGCTGAAGTAATCTATAGGTTTCTACCAATGGTATGGTAAAGAAATAATGAGTCCTGTGTTTGACATACAGAGACATTTTTCGAGACTTTAAATTAAAAGTTAATTTTTTTTCCTGAGGGTCTTACTTTCACACCTATTGATAGAAATAATACCTGAACTTTTCTTGGGTATATGTCATATACAGTTGAGTTGTTCAGAATATAAGCACTTCCGCAAAGGATCACATTCTTGTTTTGCAAAGGCAATATCTCTTCTCCTTGGTCTGCAGGGTCTTCCTTTAACCATACTTCTGTCTGATCCTACCACAAGGTAGTGCTCTCACATAACTCTGGATTGTTCTGTATTCTATGCACTCCTTTTCACCCATTTCATATTACGATCCATTCTCCATTTTTTTTGTATGAGGTATCTTGGCATAGCCCAGCCTTCTCCATTTAAACAATATTCAAATCTCTCTTTAATTCACTACAACGCTCTCATAAGATGGATTGTTCAATTAGCTCTCAGTCATCAGAATCTAAATGTCTAGTCAATGGAGATAACTGAGAAGGAACTTAAATGTACTAAATATTTGAAAGAACTGCACTGAATTACCATCCTTTAATGGGAAGTTAAAAGTCTTTAATGAAATTCTGACTTAGAGTAATCCAATTGGCTTCACATATTTTTATTACTCTCATGAGAAACACGATAATTGCCATAACCACTGCTTAATGTTTTGTGTCCTAAGATACCATGTTTTGATAAATTATAAATGGCATGCTTTTGGAAAAATTAGAATATCCCTTTATCACTTTTCTTTCCATTATTCTGCTCTCAAGAAAATCAAGATAGAGCAAGTAGCACTGACATTCGTTGAGCAAGTTCTCACCAGGTTTAGTTTCACTCGGTGTAACTCAGGTACTGTCTCCTGGACACATGTATTAATCCTTATAAATAAGCTGTTAAATCTTTCTTTCAAGTCACATTCTGTTTAATTCACGAAGCACACATACTCTCTTCATGTAAGATTTTATCTGAGCTGTTAGGTTGTCTGCATATCTGAAAATGTTGTGGGAAACCTCTTTTCATATACATCTCCTCTAAAAGTTCATCAGAAAACAAACATTGCTGGGGCAAAGGTCAATGAGGCTGGTTATCAGAGTGACCTTTGACTGTGAATACGAAAGATCACACTGATCTAAAGCAGACTTGGTCACTGATTTTCTGATTTTGTAAAATGGAACCTAAAATACAGCAACATCACAGCCCTGAAACATATCTACTCATTGGTGGCTTAAGGAGCTGCAGAGGAGAGGGTCACATAACGCAGTAAGAATTTGAAAGGCCGCCAATGAAGACTAACTAAGGGGCAGCTCTACTTATATATCGCATCTCTATTCATCAACCCCAAAAGGAACTCGAGTGCTTTAAGTCTTCACCAAAACATTTATTTCTATGACATTCAGAAAGAGAAATACTGGCCCTGATCATACCATTTAGGTACTCCAGGGCAATGGCATCACTTCTCTGGGCCTTAGTTTCCTCATTGGTAAAATAAATGACCCCGAAAGGTTCTGCTTTTATGGCTCCATTTGTTTGTCACTCAATATATGCTCAGAAGAAAGACAATAGATCACTGTGCTTCAGATACAAAAAAAAGCTATCTTTTAAATGTGCATATTTGATATTCTAAAATAAAACAGTTGGGCTTCCCTGGTGGCACAGTGGTTGAGAGTCCACCTGCCGATGCAGGGGACACGGGTTCATGCCCCGGTCCGGGAAGATCCCACATGCCACGGGGCGGCTGGGCCCGTGAGCCATGGCTGCTGAGCCTGCGCGTCCAGAGCCTGTGCTCCGCAACGGGAGAGGCCACAACAGTGAGAGGCCCGCGTACCGCAAACAAACAAACAAAAATAAATAAAATAAGACAGTTTAAGAGATTGAGAAAGGTTAATAAAGAATATTTAAGGATGGATACAACCAAATGGGAAGTACTGATAAGTGGAAGACTAATTTGGAAGTAGAAAGTGAAAAGAAGATGCTGAAAAAAATCATTTGAAAGGAAAACCCTTGAAAAGTAGTGTTTATGGAGTTGGTCCTGGTGGCAAGTCTTCAAAATGATCATGCTGCATATTTGCTGCATATTTGCTGCATGCAGAACAAACACAACACAGAACACCCCTGAATTCTGCTTTGGTGGCATATGAATTCACAGTAATTGTGGGTCTTAAGAAAACAGAGAAAAAAATTTTCCCAAAAGCCATTTTCCATTTAAAGTAATGGGACAATTCTAAAGCAGTCACTCTGTGTGTTCATGGATAATGCATGAACATATAAGAGGAAATATTATTATTTTACCAACGATACAGAATAACATCAGTGAAGGCAGCCATCAGTAGACTGAAAGGAAATGAAGAGGCTATAATAATTAAAATGAGCTCACACAAATACAAGACTGCAAAAAAAAAAAAAAATGTGTGTGGAGGAGGCAGAAGATAAAGAGATGTGGGTTTACTTGCTCACTGGTCAAGTCGATGCATGACTTAATCTAGTACCTGCCAGTCTGCTTATGAGACACTGCAACAAATCTTAAAATTCTAAAAGGAGAAATGTAGTTTTCAGTCATGAGCAGTTTAAGAGACAAGAAAAGAAACTGGCAAAGTTCTATGAGTGTAGCATTTTCATTGCAGTATCTATTGCTAGGTAATCACGTGCCAAGTGTGAACATTCAAAGAAAGAGGGAAACTTTTGAAGGCAAAGCAGTGAGTGCATTAGCAAAAATGCATAAATCATTAGCAAAAAGGCATAAATCACGCCTTGCACAATGCAGAATTAAAGCAGAGGAAAAGGATGACAGAACTCATTATGTTTAAGTCATGAAAGCGTAAATAACATTAAATTGCAATGGCATTGAAAACAAGTTCTCTGTGGAATTTTCTTTTTTTTTTTTTTTATTCAAAGCAAAAGCAGAGTTGCTGTTTTCTAATTCATAGGATATTTTTTCCAAAGAAAAAACACTATCTAGTATGTATATAGTACAAGATCACCATAATAGAAGTAAATTTTTCCCAGATAGATGGAACAGATTTTACAAGAAGGGAAAAAGAAACTTTATGGGCCCTCTAGACAGTGCCATCATATTCCTGAATGATCTGTGGGCCTCTAATTGTTAAGAATCTGGGATAAATTTGGGCCCACAAGGAACTGACTTCAAAGCAATATGTTAAATATTTGAAGTTCTTAGTTTTTACAAATGAAGAATGAGTCACCTAAATGACTTAGAATAAGAGTTAATAAAGAAAACAAATGAATACATCTCTCTGAGAACCCATTTTAAAAAGGGAATTTCTTAATTCACATTTAACTCTCAAATTAACTGTTCAGAACCAAAAGTCAGGAGCATTAATATATAGGATTTAGACATTACCCTCCAAAAGAAAGACTTCACAGAGAAATAAGATCCAACCACTTCGTTTTCTGAGAGTTCCTAAAAATAAACAAATATTTAGCTAAATTTTGAGGTGTTTTGAGAATATTTGATTGGCTCAGCAAAATTAAGACAAGTGAAAACCCTAAAATTATATATGCTAAAGACACTTTGGATGTTTATAAACTGTAAGTTTTTTCTTCTTTTGAATAAAGTTTTTTTATTTCAATTAAAGTTTGTCTTATTCATATCTGATACAATGGTAGTAAAGTTTAGAGAGGATTATTTCTGTAATTTTAAAAGAATATACTTACCTCTTTATTAGCTGTTGATTAATATATCTTAGTCTAACATTTTATTTTAAAAAGTAGAACTGTTTAAACATATTTTAAAATTCTGAAATAAACCAGATAATATCCATTCCTTTTAACAAAAAAATTTAATACCACAGATCTTCAGAGCATTTTTAAAGAATGATAACAGAAATCTTATTTATAAACATATACCTAGTCAAATTTGGCTTAATTCCTTACTAAAAACTTCCTAGTTTTATGATATAACATGTAATATATAAGATGTAAATTACTTAGTTAACTGAAGCTCCCCCCAAAATAATTTTAAAAATAAACGAATACTAAGAAAAGGTGCCTATTTAGTTGGAAACAAAGCAGTGGATTCATATTGGACATTTTATTACTTAATCCTCAGACTTTTATAACGTGAAACCAATTTGCCTTTAGGAAATCAAAAGCACAGTTACTCACTTTTAAAGAGAACATTTAAATTACATGCCTCCTTTAAACTTTCAGGTTTTGCATCCTGTTTCTGGGTGTCAGTTACGGTAATATTATGGGAAACTGATGACAGTTATGGGAAAGCATCAGCCTTTGACACTGTGATGTAGAGGAAGCCGTTTTGTAATTTATTTGATTATTCCATGATTTTGTGTTAGCAACTAAGATGGTAGTGGTCCAGCACCTCGCATGATACCTAATTATGCATGGTAGGTGCTCAATAAATATTTGATTGACTGTCAGTCACATGGAATTTCATTTGCTTAAGGATATATATTTCGTTCAAAGTGATCCTTCCAAAAATCGTATCAGAAAATAATAACGAACTAAAGTACTTTAGGGTGTGCAGCAATTTGAGTAATTTAAGTTTAGCTAGAATTATATCAGAGATCATCTATGCAATCTACCTGTGCTTTTTCCATGAAATCTATTTCTTAATGAAACTAATTACATTTTCCTAAGTTATTTGTATACGGTTCGGTCAGGTAGCATACTAATCTCAGGGTCATTGGGAAAAAGTCTTGAGTTTAAGACACGGTTTTACCATCACTACAGAGTTATAATTCATTTACCCTTACAGGTATGGTTCTCATCTGCCACACTTAGCACACTGTTGTATCAGTTTCTGAAAAGAAAATTCTAAAAAATACACTTACATTTGGACGTGAGGGCACAAACCTTAGATGGAATGATTGCAGTTTTTTTGATGCTATGCTACTGTTTAACTCAAAGAAACCTTATTCTAGCTTTTGGAAAAGATGCAGCTTTTCCTATTCTACTGCCAATTCTCTTCTTACCTTGATTCCCAGTTCTCTTTTAATTAAGCAGCATGCTTAGCAAAATTGGATAAATTTTAAAGTATCATATGAAAGAAATTATTTCTCGAAGTTCCTTACACAAATAATTTCCCCAGAGTCAATAACACAAGTTATTTAGCTAACATTGAGTTTTTTCTCGATGCTTCTCAATTGCAAAACGTGTTAAATCAATGTGAAAGTCTTGGCTCTAGACTTGACAGTTACAACAACTAAGACAACCATTTAGCATTTTAAAATATTGTTACTTCATTTAAAGTTTAGGTGGTCTAAGGTGATCTAATACTGAAATTGCACCAACTCCATACTCTCCGTTCTTCCTCAGATGAACACCGAGGGCAATGATCTAACTATGTGATTAGTATGCAAAGAGCAAAAAGAGATTGATGAATTGGCGGCGGGGAGGGGAGATTTTAATTATCAAGATTTAGAATTTACATTTCTCTGTTAAAATTTGAGAAACAAAAATACCAGTCACATTTGGATCCACTGAAGTCCCCAGGCTGCGCTTTTCATGCCATGTTTAACTACTACTGTCATTATTAACTAAAATTTAGATTTCATTTTACAACCCACATTGTCATGTAAATTTAGGTCTTTATTTCAAATGAAACAAGTTAATTTTCCTGTGGACCCTTTTGCCATTTATAGCTCTGATAAATATAAAATTCACAGCAAACTAGCCAAGGCCTTCTTTTCCCTAGAGTTTCTAATAATAACAATAACAGAAAACAATAATAATGAAACACCTGGAATTACGATAATGAGTTCTAAACAAAAGTGGTGATTTTAATATGGAGGGCAAGAAAAGCAGAATAAACTCTTCAAGAATCCCAGGGAAGACTTGTCCTAAATTATAATTATAGATATTTAGTTACACTTCAGTCTCCATCAAGACAAGAGGTTGGCAAGTGAGGGAAAGTGCCATTTTAAAAGTGCTAAAATTATAAAGTAACAATAAATGGAAACAGAACGAAAGCCAGAGGTATCAAGTTGATGAAGGAAAATAACTGAAGTTATTCTGAATGATGAATTGTTGAACTATTTCTGCTGAGGTTTTGAATTTATTAAGTAGCAAGATCCATTGGTAATATTGTTTTTAAATCTATTTTTTGCCTCGAAAAAACCAACACAGACTACGAAAATTTCTCCTCAAAGATCAAAAATCCTTCTGTCAATCTAAGAGTTAAGGAGATTTTAAATTAAAAAATCTAGAACATGTATTCTTTTTCTCAGAGAAATAAAACTAAAGGACAGTTCATTTTTTCCCATAACAAATGAATATGATGCTATTTTTCACCCTTCTATGTAAAATAAATCGCAGAAATCTTCACTGTCTTTGCCATCAGACAAACAAGGATAGCCACTGAACTTTTATTGAAAGTGGTATCTTTTGTTAGCCTTAATATGTACAGGCCTTTAAGCCCATTGCGTGTTATTTTAATTCAGCAATTCTATGACACTCAAGACATTCACAATAGACTGGAAATTGTGAAGCCTGAGATTCCAATGTCAAAGTCAAGCCAGGTAGCAGTATTATTACACAGCATGTTTTTATAGGTGCATAACTTCCTTTTATGAATACCTCTTTGGGCATTTAAGAGGTAAAAAAATGAATAAATTCATAAGTAAATAATTTTCATAGACTTTCCTGGTCAGACTGCAATCTAGTTATCAAAGCTGTGGCTCTTGGATGCCTCCGTCAAGTTGACTAAGCCTATCAATGTGTCATTGAAAACAGGGATGTGAAGTAAGTAGAACTGCACACTGAAACACAATTTTCTGGTTCCTCAAATAGATGTTCATATCATTTATATGCATTAAACATAAATATAATCCCCCTGCAGCTCCCACTGTCCTTTCAAATATTGTTGAAGGGAGAGAGACAAGGTCAGCTCCCCAGAGGACCCACCAGGCTGAAGCCTGGCCTTGCTTTGTCTTTTATTTTTTTTAGAAATTTTACCTTAAGTGTTTCATATGTGTGTGTATGTTTGTAGATATGTATATATAAATACATGCATATGTGTGTATATATTGCTGTCAACCAGGGCTTGAGAGCCAGTCCTTACACAATTATGATTAAATTTCATCGTAAACATTTAGGGGGCTTTAAAACCAATAAATCTCCTCCCGGTCACACTTAATTTAACATATATATATATATACACATACATACATATGTGTATATATATGTATATCTAACATATATACATATATATGTTAAATATATCTGATATACATTATATGTATATACATATATACCTTTGAATTAAAAGGCCATGTAATCTGTGAATGAACCCTTAGCTCCATCATCCTGGAGTCAAGTTACATTAGTTCCCTTCCCTTTGATCAGCCCAGAAAGGGTCTTGGGAAACCATCAGCTGACTTGGTAGCACACATTAGCAATGTGAAGGCCAGTCTATGACCCCAAATTAAACATCTTAGAGCTAGCACGCAGGCATTATGGAATCTATCTTCTGCTTGAGATTACATTTTGTCCTTTCACTTTGTGCCAACTCATCCAGATTCTCTCCCTAAAGGACCCACAACATTTTAAAAATTCAACATGAGTGGTCAAATAAATGTAATGCCATTGTTACAGAAATCCCTGTAGTTATGAATTACAATACATAAAAATGTATGATCTCTTATACCTATGGGAAAACCCTGTCAAAACAGCAAGAAAAAAATCATCCCAATATAAAATTTAATTATGGCTCCATGTATTTTGAGGGGAATAATCAAATATTTACTGACATTAAGCTATCTCTATTTTAAATAAACTTACTACAAATTTTAGGAGTGTAATTAATTGAGGTAAAAATACAGTCCTTTAGAATGCAAATGCTCATGCTATTAGCCCTTTGTTTATTGCAGCATCGTGGACTCTTAGAAGCCTTAATTATGAGGTTGACTTTATAGCATTTCCGAATAACAGAAATTTGGGAGGACAAAATTAATAGTAAGAATTTTTAGAAGAATTTTATATTTCCTTCAAAAACACGTCAGCAACTAATTTTTTCAAATACATAGGCATAATCATTTGAAATGAGACATCAAAGAAAAGCCATTTTGGTCATTCACAGTTGAGAAAGTCAATGACCAATAAGGTTTTCATTTTTTGCAATTTTTTAAAGATCATCATCTATGTATTATCAGGATGTGAGGTCTTTGTAGAAAGGACATGATAATTGTTAAATAATGACATTTTTCCCCCACTATGTCTGACTGTGTGAGACACTTAAAAATGTGTTAATCTGTTTCTCTACCGTTTCTTAAATTAAAGCACTTAGAGGTTTTCACTGATGCATTTTTAATGTGTCATCCAAGGTGTCAGGTTTAACTATGCCCTGCAGACTTACAGTGTTGAGAGTGTTCTCTAGTTTAAATTAACAATATCCTTGCCAAAAGTCTTATTATAAATTGCCTCATTCAACCAGTGAATAAAGTGTTTTATAGTTCATTAAAATTATACTAAGTGATTAAAATAAAATCTTTATAAAAAAGATATATAACTAAAAAAAAATAAGCCATCAAGTAACAGAAGATATGCTAATGAGATGTCATCACATAGTCATATTATATTATTCAAAGGATGAACTCTCTTTAAAACAATTTTCAACTGTTATTGTTGAGAATAGAAATTGCAATGTGTATGTCTTTATATTATCACAATGGTTACTTCTCAAAGAATTAAAGTGATTTATTGAAAGCACATAAGTTTATTATCATACCCACTGATAAACTCATTCTTCTATGTTAAAACACACACAATGTAGTACAAAATCATTTGCTTGCCATCTGATAGAGGCAATTATTTCATTATTTATTTTCCAGTTTTTGTTTGACCCCCCACAGAATTTATTCACAAAATTCATATACACCTTCTCTTCTAAGCTCATGAAACTTTCTTGTTGAATAATTTAGCCTTATAATAAATTATCAATGATAAGCTTCTTCTAAAGAATAAAATATTACAATAACTCAAAGCATCATCATTTCTCTGCCAAAATGCATTCTGTCACCTAAGTATAATACTTTGACCAGGATAATTATCCAGTTGCCCAAGTTTATGGAGACATCGATCCCCTTCTTCTTAAAATAACATTTTTCTACAACAGCTGAGTGGGGGCAGAATTAGAAATGTGCACAATGGAAAGTGTGCTTGTGGAAAACCAGAATGAATGTTTTAAAGGATGCTACTATCCCCAAAAGAGGAAACACTACAGAATTTATAATTATTTACTGGCTAACACACCATTTAAATATAGCATGTACTTTATACATTCTACTTTTCAGGGGTAAGTTTAGGTGTATTTTTTTCCCACTCATTATTAGGTGGTAACACATTTACTCCAAATAATATCTAAGTCTGTCCTGAACAGCAATTACTCCTCAAGTCGGCTCTTCACCTCTCTTGTTTTCATTAGTAAATACAACCCCACATTATGTGATTGCCACAGATTAGATTTCCATAGCAGAAAAAATCTTCTATTGGCAAGACAATGAAAATGAAAAGCAGGTATTTAAGTAATGGAAAATTCCATGAGCTGATGAAATTGTATACAGGGGAGATGTGCATATTAAAAAGCTAACAATATCAATAATGCACTTCCCCGCTCCATGGTTATATCACTTCTGAAAAAAACAAGCAGAGAAAAACTCCATACTGGAGAGAATATCTAACAACACTATCTGACTCTACTGAAGTCTTTGCCACAAAGTGTATAATTCTCAGATCTCACCTTCACCATGGGTGCTCAAAGACAGGCAGCATACCGAAGCCCTGCTATAAAAAAGCAGACCTCATTCCCAGAAACCAAGATTCCAAAGAAGAAAATGACCTATTTATATGAAAACTTCACCTTTGACTTTGAGCATAGTTCTATCAAATGTAAAATACTTGTATTTAAGTGTCATGCAAATAAATTATATTCTCTTTCCAAAAATAAAAGAGGAAAAATCTTTACTCACACAAGAATCTTTAAGGGGAAGGCTGAAATCATTAGAAAAGGGATGCATTTCCACAACACAGTAACACAGTAACACACGCAACTACACGGTACAGTCATTTATCCCTTAGTTTCTCAGGAAGCACAATTTACTTGAACATTGTCCTCCCTCCTTCAATCCCTGGAGGAAAGAATTGGGGGAGCAGTCTCATTGCATGTGAAGGATGGCGGACTAGGTGGTAATTGAAATTTCAAACTTTCCCTGGATTTTGAATTTAACACTCTGCTCTTGTAACACTAATATGGATGAATATGGCACATGTTTTCGGGGACACTGACAAACTGAATGAATTATCAGGTATTCAGTATGTTCTCAATGGAAAAAAAAAAACCAAATGATTTTCTTCTACACGTCATTCAATATCTCCATTAAACTTTATAAAACTGAAAATCCCTTAGGCTAAAAACCCAAAAGCCATATTACCATGTACACTAAAAATAATCTCCCAATGAGTGCAGTTAGACACAGGGAATTCTGTGTCATCAACGGCCAGCTAGAAAATTTACCAGTTTGAATGTACAATTGGATTATTAGTAATTAAAAACTCTAAGAAGTTTAGATACAAAAATAGTAAAGAGTAGATGTTTATTTACTATTTTTGTAGATCAAAGGAAAAGACATGGATTTATGTTGACTTAATTGATCCTTAAAATTAAATTTAAACATAAATTAAATGAACTATTTAAAGAAGAATCTTTATGTTTGTTCTTTTACCTTACAATAAAATGGATTATTCCCACTAATTAATACTAAAAACTATATAATATCCTGCTCTAGCATTACGTGTTAACTACAACTGCAAGAGAGATATTGTTACATATTAATGGATTACAATGTTTTTACATAGATATAGTATAAGATAGACACAGAATGAAGAAAGCCAAATTACCTGAGTTTTTAAACATATAAACTTTTAATATAACACTAATTCTGAAGTACAATTACAAAGAAAAAAGTGTAATACACATATAAACAGTGCAAACATTTCTTTAAGATTGTTGAAATTTTATTTTGGCCTGTAGAAAACATAGTGAACAGTAAGTCAGAAATACTCAGCAATTTTCCTTAATAAATGTTTTTCATTTTATTAAAATGATAAAGGTGATTTTTAATGTGGACCTGACCTTTTTATGATCCAAATTATCTTTTGGTCATTAATTCTATAATAACTGGGAAGAAAGTTTTTACATTAAGAAATACTTGTTAAAGCAATTAAGACATTACCATAACTAAAAAATCATTTTGATAAATATTTTCTTAATTCACAATAATGAAAGTGACAAAATCAAAGAAAAATTTAAGTAATAGCATGATTCAATCAGAATGGAAGAAAAAAGATTGTCATGTTCCAGGGTCTAAGAAAATGAATCACTATTCAAAAGGAATACCAACTTTTAAAAATAGAAATTTGAGCAAAATAGATTTTCACAAACAAAATCTCTTTGATTTATTCCAAGGAGTAGTCATACAAAAGTCAGTTTCATCTTGATATTTATTTGTGTCCAAGAGTGGTACCACCACTGAACAAATTAGAAGCTTAGTTTATATCTCATATATTTCACAAGTTATAAGAAGAGCCAGAGCTTTGTAAGGTATAGGATCCATAAACTCCTCTCACTCCCAAGAGCTATTTATTTCTTGAAGTGAGAAGAGGCAATGATGGAAAATTGTTCTCATGATACACTCCAAAGATGTAGCAATAAAGGGATTTTTGAGTTTAGAAAATCTTAGACTCAGTTTTCAGTGAACAAAAACAGTAAATTACAGGGATCTTCCTTCTCTCTGGAGTTGTCCCTACCCTAGTGCCATTATTTTATACCTGATCTGGAGCAAAGGCATTTTCTAGACCCTGTGGTACAGAGAACAGAAACCAGATGTTGCGAATGATGCTGAGAAGTGACCAGAGGTTAGCAAGAGGATGATTTGGATGTGATTGATCAGTGTGATTTCTATTTACTTAAAAAGCATCACATGGTTTGCTTAAAGTTTATGGGGAAAAAAAAACAATTGAAGAGTGATGAAATCCTGAGGTATAGTTTAACGAGGCATGAGAGAGATTGGGAAAGCAGCTGATAGTGCTTCTCAACAAGAAAAGCTGAAAGATCACATGCTAAGTGTTACCTTACTTGATCTTTTCCAACTCTTCCTCATTAGCATTGTCTGTAAATGAAATAAAGCATTTTCATTATCTTATCACTCAAGTACAGGACAGGGCAGCCAGTTGTTTTCTGGAGGAAGCTTGACATTTAAACAGCAAACAGTTTCCAGCAACAATTATACAAGACAAAAATTGTTTTTCACGTACGCGCAGCTAGAAGCACCTTTAACATTCAAGCAGTCTTTCTGGTGAGAGTTCATTTCCTTTATTCTTTTGTACAAAGAGATGGGACAGTATATTTTAAATAGAATGGAAAATTTGAAATATCTTATTGATAGGAAAAAAAACACACCAAGTCTCCCAATTAGCAATTGTTACTTTTGGTGGTGGAGGCTGATGATGTACCATGACTTTACTGGGTGTATAATAACTTTTCTCTTCAAACTCATTCAAAGTCCGTTGCATTGGCAGCATCTTAGAATTGTCTCTGCTTCCAGTTAATCTTTAATTACATCAGGGTTTACAGATGCTTTCGACTGAGAAAAGATGCTGCATATCGTGATGGCTATTAGTGGATCTTCCTGCTAAATGTTTAGCCATGATATATCCTTTAAACTAGTTTTTTCGTGTCATAGTAAGAGATATTTATGACTTCAAGTTTTAATTAAGGTTGATGGAGGTCTGTGATGAGTGCCCAAGACCGCTGGTCTCTTGCATACAGTAACTCATAAAAATCCAATGACTTTTAATTTCCTCTCCAGTTTAAAAAAAATTCTCAATGAACACTGAGGTATTAACTTCCTGATAACCTCTTTACCCTCTCTTAGCTTTATCATTACTTTTAAGGCAGATGAGGGAATATCTGGAGCAAAGAATACAGCTTATAGAAATGCTTGCCATATTTATATATCAAGGAAGTACACTCGTGCCTTTAAGAACTCTATCTCCTTCAGCAAAATTCACTATAAAGCAAGACCATTTCAGAAACCACTCATAAATTACAAAAATACAAAAAAGGAAAGATTTTAATATAAGAATAAGTCCTTTAGTAGGCAACCTTTGGCCTAAACCAAGACAAAGGAATTATGTAGAGGTTCTAGAAGGGGAAAGGAGAAATATCATAAAATTGTCAAGGTAAGGATACATTCCTCTTTTCTGCAGATAGTGGTTTTATAGGTTACATGTTCTCTATATACACTCTGTGTTAGATATTGACCAAAATATGGAAGAGAAATAGACTTCCTAAGGTTACAATAGTTCCCAATTTTTTTCAAATAGAGTCAGGAACTGCAAAGTATTATCTTATATTTTTTCTAAGTACTAATGTCCAATTTATTCTGAAGCAAAACCCACCATCGGGTTATGGAGATGGACGTTTAATAGATGTTTGTTGTTGACGTTAAATGAGTTAGTCGTCATCATCACCACCACCACCACCACTTTCTCATCACTAAAAGGCAACTGGACACGAAATACTTTTGTGGTATTGCACGTTCATAAAAACTGCCCCGTGAAGAGTCAGGCAATAAATTTTCAACTTTCTCAGAAAGCAGAGTTTCAGTGAACAAAGAATGATAATTCCTAGGGACAATGTTCTGAGTCAAATCAGGTGAGAACAATTAACATACGTAAATCAAAAAGGAAAATCTCTTAACTCATGGCCATTTACCATCATCAACTAGTATCAAAGAATCTTACCAAGTTCCATTTGGTAAGAAACGCTACTATGAAAAAGGGGCTAAGAACATGAGGAACAGTTGACTCTCAGGGCAACACTATTCAATATTACACAGATTCACTACTGCTGATCAAAGCCACATCCCCCCACTCAGAACCACTGCACGCAATTAACCTTCTACATGTAAAGCAAACTATAGGGTTGGTATTTTCCTGTCTCTCAAAATCAGTCTTACAAACAAGATGCATGGTATTACTTTTCAGATTGGGACACTGATACAAACAAAAGGTCAGTAATTTCCCTACGTATAAGTGTGAAAGATTTGGCAGTTACAGGGGCCAATTCATTATCTTCCTGGTTCAGTTTCTAGGAAACTGGGTTTCTAGGGTTAAAGTAGATTCAGTAAAACTGGAATCAGTATAAAAGTTTTCTAAAGAGTGAATTTAACAGACGTACTATTAACATTGTTACCTTTACTAACTGTGGGACACTTAGAGAAGAAAGATTGGGGAATGTTAAACATAGGAGATGAAGCAAATTATAGAAAAATAAGATTTATTTTTTGCTATTTGATCTTAACTTCAGCTGAGAAACATATGAATTTGTTTCTGAAAGTGTCATTATCTAATATTATAGTACCTTCAAATTCTTTATTAGCAACTCAACTTTCTTTGAAGCCCAATAAATGGAATAAGTAGCATAAAAATATGGCCTATGAGCTGCAGAACTGATTATGTTTTTAAAAGGTTCCACAGTCTCAATCCATTTTTTGCTTTTCCCTTTTGTTGCAGTGATTTTTTTTTTAGGCAATTACATGACTACTATAGATATAAAAAAAAATCACAGAATGGCTAGATACTATGGTAGATACGTATTATAAAACATATATATTAACTGTTTATAGGTGGATATTTTTTCAAATGTTAGCTTATGGAATAATTCAGAATTTTTTCAAAAATAAACTATAGAGAAAAATATATTTTTTGAATTCACTAAAGATCAACTGAGGTTAATTCATATGTTTCTTAAAATTTTTTACTTTTTAGCTTTAGCCAAGCAATTTGTTAGGTCTAGGTTTTCTAAGAGAGTGTGTAACACAAATTAACTCACTTTTATTTCATAAATCCTCCAATGAAGAAAGCTGTGGATTGAACTCTGCTAGAAAAAGAGCCAGAAAGAACTCAAACACACTATCAGACCAAAATACCATATATATAGGACACACATATATGCACTACACACATTTGCAGGATCAAACAGGGCATGCATTCAAAACAGAAATGACAGTTGTGTCATGCAAGTCATCAACATGTCCCCCAAGAAGATTTTGGTTTCTCATACATACAATGCAGAAAATTAAAAAATATATATATCTGTTCACATCTGGAGTCTTTTAAAAAAGACTCAATCATGACTCAGTGGAGAATATTTTAATATAAGCAACTATGAAATACTTTTGCTATGACTCATATTTACTTCTTAATTAGCTATAATTAGATGTTCCATGTTTGAGGGGCTTTAGTAGATACAGTAGGCTGATAGGGTTTTCAACTTTTTCTTCCTTTTTACTGAACTGGCAATCCACACAGGGAGAAATCATCCCAACCACATGATTCATGGAACACACTGTCAGTATTAACAGTGTCTTAAACACTCACAAGACAACTGATTTAGAACTCTTAGCACTTTGTGATGCTAAGCCCTCTGTATTTCCTCATTTCTTCCAACTTTTGATAGCATTTCTTAACATTAATGTTCTATTTCCTACTTGATGGTTAGGATTTATTTGTCAATGGCTCTTGAAATTCATATCATCCATTCTCCATGTTAATCCATAAAAAATATTTAGCAAAGTCTTATAAACACAGGCATAAGAATAAACATGTGCTTTTCTGAACTAAAGTCTTAAGTCCCAAAAGCTTAAAATAGGTTATTTCTGAGCTAATAATCAAAGAGAACAGAACTCATAATTTTGCTGTGTGAAGGTCAATGCAAAATCATCCTCTGTTCCTTCTCTATACATCATTCTGAATATTAAGTGGACTTGTGAAGCATTTAGTAACTGATTTCTGGTTTGCTGCATTATGAAGTCTGAATTTCTCTAAATAAGATTTGTTCTTGGATAATTTGTGGAAGTTCAGCATGTCATTTTCACTGCAGCAATATGTTATATATTTCAGGCATATAAAAATTTAATTTGAAGATACATGGGATAATTGACTGTTTTTAACCAAGAAATTTCAAATGTATTCCAGGGAAATATATTTAGCCAATACTAGACATGTTACCAAAAGAAAAAAATACAGTGACGTGCTTCTAATTCATTGTCATCATTAGAAATCTTGAGAAGAGCAATATAGACTGATTTTAATCAGATTATCATTAATAGAATAATTTTAAGAATTCAATAGGAAAATTAAATCATTATCTCCAGTATTGTTTGTGACAACCTCAGGGATTTGAATACGGAAGTAAGAAGGAAACTTAAAATACCTTTTCCTGGACCTTTGAAGCATCCCATCAAGCATTCTCTAAGAATCCTCTTAGAGATTCATCCACAGCCTACTGAATAACCACTAGGTACAGAAAGCTGGACTAGGTTTTGAGAGGAGTCATCATAAGAAAGGTAATCAGAAGCAATAATTTATATATATATAAATATTTATGAATTATTATTATTTTTAACCAGGAGTGATGGGCTATAGGACGGAAGTGAGGTGAGGTACATACAGGTATATTTTAGGTAGGAAAGGTCACATTGGAGAAAGCTTGGACTTGAGAGGAGGTGAGCTGTGTAGGAGTCTGTATGGCTGGGATAAAGGTTACAAGTGAGGGAACACATGTCGCTCATTGGAGAGTCTTAAAGCCCTTCATCAGGAGTTTCCATTTCATTAGAGAAATAACCACAGGTCACTGAACACTTAGAAGAATAAAGAGGGAGTTATAGAACTTGGTACAATGCTTATAGATGCTCAATAAGTGGTTTTTTTCAATAGATGCCTACAACTGGCATCTCTTAGTCAGAGTGTCAAAATCTTCTAACTAGTGTCGCTTGCCAATTTTAGAGATCTTAATTAATAAACAGCTCTAGAACTGCTATATAGACCGAAATAAACAAAGGGGGAAAAGCACAAATTTATGTCTTTGTTAGAAATTTTCATCATGTAAAGCATATGCTTAGAAGCCCCAATCCCAATCTAGGAATCCGATTAGCCAGGATACTGGGGGTCCCAATAGAATTTCCTGTAGGGGACCTTTCACGCTTCCTCCCCTGTCCCTGCCCCAGCTGCTTGTCCACAACCAACCCCAGGCTCCCGGTTATTGATCACGTCCACAAGGAGGAGCCAGTATAGCCACACTGGTCACTCTCCTCACTGCTTCTCAGCTGTGGCTGAAGTCACCTGATAAGCCACTTGCTTCTCTGGTGAAAGAGAGAAGCCAGGTGAGAGTCCAACATGTGAAGGAAGAAGACACCGGTTTTCAGTTGCTGCAGCCGAATCAATCCAGTGCTATTTGGGACTGTGAAGGGGGAGGCATGAAGTAAGGCAAGCAAATGAAAAATACTCAGCAGTAAAAGATTTTTTTCCAAAAAGCTGGGGTAGCCAAAGAAATCTGAACCAAGAAAATGGCATGAAGATTTCAAGAAGAACTCTTTGTGTTAAGGGTGACTGTGGCTGGAGAGATACGATAAGGAGAAAGAAAAAGGAAGAAAAGAAGATTAATAATACCAGATTTTTGATGTGTAACTGTTTCATGTAACCTGTTTTTGTTCCTATTCGTGTTCGATAAATCACTGATGACCAATAACCGACACTATAATATTTTAAAATGATCTTTTCTAATTAGAAAGACAGTGTGCCTAAATAAGTTTGAACAGCAGTGGAGATTGAAGGGTTTTTGTGAGAATGGTTGAAGAAAAACGAATGTCAGGAACTACTTTGCCTGTGCTGACATATATTTCTGTGTAATTTAGAACAACTCAGCAGCCTCGTCATAAAGTCTCTTGATACTAACTTAATCCCTCAAACCCTCAGTTTGATGTTAGAGTATTTAATAAATATGCTTTTAATGTAAAAAATCAGCAGACCCTCCATCATCAAATCACCCAAATAACTAAAATAGCTGCCATATCATTTGAATCCCCAGTAATACTGGCAGTTTGGATGGTTTGGAGGCACGCCCTAAGACCTCACGCACTTAGGTATTTTCATTTATGGTGTTGTCCTTCATTAAAATAACAAAGGATCCCCCCCCACATATTCTGTCACCGAGTTTTGTTGATTTTACCTCCTATAGATAAACTTCATTTCTTTCCATCTCTACCTCTGACAATTCTAATCCAAATCTCCATCATCTTCCACCAGGATTTTCAAAATAGCTGCTAGTTGGTCTCCAAGCATTCATTCTTACACTTTCATCTGTTTTCTACAATGCAGCTACACAACAAAAGGCAAATAAAATGATGCCACTTCCTATTTACAGACTTTTCAAAGGCTTCCCATTGCTCTTTGGGGAAAGACCACAAACCTTAACACGGCCAACAGTCCCTATGCAGTCTGGGTGTCTCCCTTTCACTGTCATCATGCACCAGGATCTTTCACACTCTGTTTGCTTCCACCTTCTCTAAGCTCCAGTAATTTTTCAATTCTTGGAGTGCAGCTTGGTTTCTCTATCCACAGGGCCTTTGCATGTGCTATTTCCTGTGCTTGAAATATTTCCTCTCTTCCTGTGTTTTTGCCTTTATCAACTTCTATTCACACTTCAGACCTCATCTCCCATTTGACTTCCTTGGAGAATTCCTGTTCCCGACTAGAACAAATTCTCCTATATTTGCTCTACAGCAGCATGCACCTCTCTTTTATGGCACTTAAAACAGTTGTCATTTTACATTTCTTTCCATGATTATTTGATTTCTGAGCTCTCCACTGGATTTCAGTTCTACTGTATCCAAAGGGTTTAGCACAGGATTTGGCTTATAGTAGGTTCCTCGTGAATACCAGGATTATTTGAATAAATGAACACTTATACTTTATTCCTGTGTATGGATTAGCCAGCTAGCATATACTCCTTGGCTTGCACTGGGTGAAATAATATATTCTGAATTGGTGACTTTTAAAATGATGGGCTTTTATTTCTAAATTTTCTCTGTGAAAAAATGTCCTCACACACCCTTCCATCTGTGCACATGGGCCTATGCCTGTGCACATACATACATTCTTTCACAGTGCTAAGTTCTCCAAGTAGGTATTATTTGATAGTACTTGTTCGAAAAGAAAATTTTCTTCCTCACTGAATGAAATATAGATACTTAAATCATTCTTTGCAAATATTCCATATGTGCTCGTTGTTTAATTTTTTTAAAGGATAGAGAAAAATACCTTGAAAAGGGTGAATTTTTCAATGAGTTTAAAACACTTCCAAATTTGAAGTTGTCATTCACTATTTTTATTTACAATCTAGGGAAAAATGCCAATAATACCTTTCCAGCAGAAAACATATACCAACTTTAATCATGCATCATTTTAAACCAGCAATACACACATTGCTGAAATAGAGTATTTAAACTTGCCTAAAAAATTATGTCTACTCCTAAAATGTGTTGCAATCAGAACTAGTGAGAATAGCTACCAGTATGTGAAAGTACCCTGAGTCTAATAAATAAATTCTGGTAAATTGTGGCAGAAAGTGCACTGGCAAGCATACCGATGCAGGTCAAATCTGATATTTTTTAACGTCACTTCAACAGTGCTGGAGTAATTAGCTCCTCTGTATCCCTTGTCAGTTTCTCATAGCAGCATGGTGTGCAAGGAAGTACAGACAGCCAGGGCTGGAAAATGGGTAACGCCGATATGGAAGCCCATCAAGAAGATGAAAAGTACTCACTAATCATTCATCAAACAAATTCCAGAAAGCAAAAACTCTATTGTAATTTCACCTCATTTTCTATGTTATGGTACATCTGACAATATAATCAAAATAGTAAGGTCTGGACACCTCAATGTGGAAAAATATAATCTCTGAATAAATACCACCATTTGCTACAAATAACAGTCTGAAATTGGAAAATAAAATAATGATAAAAGATGCAAATGTATCCCTTATTTATAAGAGGTTCTGATCTGGAGAATAAAATAGGAAATTTGAATTCAAAAAATACAATACAACTAGACTACTGATACCCAGGATACTCACAGAAACAAAGAACAGGTCAGATCTTCTTATGCTGTTTCTCTTTAATATTACCTCTGGGTTCAGAGAAGGCTCAAGACATTTAAACAAGTGAGAGCAAGAAAGCTACAACTAGGCTGAGGGGGAACTTACCACATCCCTGTGTTCTCCTTCCTTAGGGGTAAGGACGACTGAGAGCAAAATGATTCCAAGATCATGGTCAGGATAATGGGGATCTTTCAGTGTTACGGTCACATCCGTGGGCCTATGATATAAAATATTAAGATTTTGAGCATGAAGGAAACCATCGACAAAAGGCAAACTACTGAATGAGAAAAGATAGTTGCAAATGATATATCCAATAAGGGTTTAATACCCAAAATATATAAAGAACTCATACAACTCAATATCAAAAAAACAAGCAATTTGATTTAAAAATGGATAAACATGTTTCCAAGAAAGACATGCAGATGGCCAACAGACACAAAAAAAGATGCTCAAAATCACTAATTATCAGGGAAATGCAAATCAAAACAACAATATGTCACCTCACACCTGTCAGAATGGTGATTATCAAAAAAGCAACAAATAATAAGTGCTTGTAAGGTTGTGGAGAAAAAGGAACACCTGTATACTGTTAGTGGGAATTTAAATTGGTGCAGCCACTATGGAAAATGATATGGAGGTGTCTCAAAAAATTAAAAATAGAACTATCATATGATCCAGCAATTCTACTCCTGGGTATCTATCCAAAGAAAACAAAAACAGCAACTGGAAGAGATATATGCACCCCTATGTTTATTACAGCATTATTTACAATAGCCAAGATATGGAAACAACCAAAGTATCCATTGATAGATGAAGGGGTAAAAAAGATGTGGTATTTATGTGTGTGTGTATACATACATATATATATATATATATATATATATATATATATATATATATATATATATATATATATATACACA